GCATAAGCAGACAGACTGAAGCTATTTCTAGACCTGATTCAAGACACGGCCGTGCCCACCAGGGTGCCAGGACACAGCTCCGTCCACCAGCCTCCCCACCAGGAGGCAGACACCGATGCAAGAAAACCACACTTTCCCCATCAGGCCATACCCTACCTTGTAACCAGCTGGGCCCTGGCCCTGTCTGCTAACAGGCCAACACAACCTCAGGATGACCCCCAGACCCTGTAGTCAACTGTATCAGAAGATAGCCCCCGTCCCCGTCCCCCCTGTAGAGATCTGACGCCAGCTCTGGGACCGCTGGGCTTTGTAGCCAGACTCCAGGACCCAGCTCTGCCTGCCAGTAGTCTGGCATGAATCTCAGGACCTGGTTTCACTTAACCAGTGCAGGGGCAACAGCCCTGGAGTTTTCTGGACCCTGACCTAGCCCACCAGTGAGCCAGCACTAGCCCTGGGCTCCCTGTGGTTCTGCCTTGTGACCAGACCCCAATAACCAGCAGCTAGCAGCATCCCCACAAAGCAGGGCCCATAAACCAACCTGGCTGAGGGTATTTAAAATTAAGAGATCAGAAATTTTAAACTGTTATGTATATATATATAGAATGCTATACAAAAACCTCATGGTAACCGCAAACCAAAAATCTATAATAGATACACACACAAAAAAAGAAAAAGGAATGCAAATATAACATTAAAGATAGTTATCAAATCATAAGAGAAGATAATCAAAGAAGGGGGAAAAAGAAAAAAGACCTACAAAAGCAAGTCCACAGCAATTAACAAAATGGCAATAGAGTATACGTATCAGTAATTACCTTAAATGTAAATGGACGAAATGTTCCACCTAAAAGATATAGAGTGCCGGAATGGGTACAGAAACAAGATCCATACATATGCTGCCTATAGGAGACTCACTTCAGATCTAGAGACACACACAGACTGAACTCGAGGGGATGGAAAAAGGTATTCCATGCAAATGGAAGCCAAAAGAAAGCCAGCAATAACAATCACTCCAGTCTTCATAGCAGCATTACTTACAGTTGCCAATGTATTAGTGTTAGTTGCTCAGTCGTGTCCAACTCTCTGCAACCTCATGGCCTGTGGCCCACAATGGAATTCTGTCTGTGGAGTTCTCCAGGCAAGAATACTGGAGTGGGTAGCCATTCCCTTCTCCAGAGGATCTTCCTGACCTAGGGACTGAACCCAAGTCTCCTGTTTGCAGGCAGATTCTTTACTTTCTGAACCAATAGGGAAGCCCAAGGTATGGAAGCAACCTAAATGTCCATCAATAGATGAATGGATAAAGAAAATGTGATACATATACTCCCTGATATTGAAACAACATACGTATACTCACCGCATCTTTTCTGTTAAAACACTATCCTAAAAAAAAACAAAACAAAAAAACACTATCCTAAGAGGTTTTCACTAAAGCAATGAGGCAAAAAAAAGTAATAGAAGTATAATAGTTGAAAATAAGGAAATAGTACTACCATGTTGCTAGATACAATTGGGATTGTGTACATAGGACATACAAAGGAATAAAGCCAAATTATTAGAATTGATAAGTAAATTTAGGAAAGTCATTGGCTATCTGGTCAATAAACCAAAATGCATATGGATCTCTATATAATAAAAACAAAAATAAAAATTATGAATTAAAACAATGAATCCATTTAAAGTCACAAGGAAAAAATACTAAATATGAAGTCATAAATATCTTTTGCCACTGTATTTGTAGCTCATCAATGCCCTCAACAAACATTTTGTCTTTGAAAAAAAAATAGCTTTTCTAGTTGTTCTTCCTGGAACATTTGGAACAGTTTACCAAAAATACAAATATTTCTTAATTTCCGCCCCCCTGCCTCCTGCCCTTCCTTCATGATCATTGTTTATGGCTCAGGCTAATTTTCTTCCAAATTTTAATAAATGTATAAATATATCTAATCAGTTAACCGTAATGGAGTCCTTCTATACATTATATTATCTCCCTGTGTGCAATATGGGTCAGGAGTCAGCAAACTTTTTCTGTAAAAAGTAAGATAGTAAATCATTTACACTTTACATGCCATACAGTCTCTGATGAAATTACTCATCTCTACTGTTTATGGCAGGAAATCAGCTAGAGATGATACATAATGAAAAGGTATTACTATGTTCTAATAAAACTTGATTTACAAATAGGTCTGAGGCCTGTGTGACACCATTTGCCAACCTCTGATAAACATGAATCTACTTCATCCTTTCTCCTGAGTGTCTAGTATTCCACTGAATGGATGAATACATTCATTTAACTCATCTATCATTGATAGAAATCTGCAACTGTTCCTGTTAAAAATCCTCTTGGGACTTTCCTGGTGATCCAGTGGTTAAGAGTCAGCACTTCCAATGCAGGGGGCATGGGTTCAATCCCTGGTCAGGGATCTAAGATCCCACATGTCACAGGGTGCAGCCAAAAAAAGCAAAGACAGAAACCTTCTGAACCAAGTACTACCTATCACCCAGCTGGGTTAGCTGCTGCTTGATCTCCATCCTCCTGTGAACATGCTCCCTGCTCTTCGCAGGGCACTGGCATTTTATGTCTTGTGAGCTGCTCCTTCTGCTTTTTTTTTTTGTTTTCCCCTTGTGCTCTCATCAGCTGAGTTTACCAGTAGCCCCAAGCCAACTGAAACACGTGTGCTTGTTACTGTAGCATGCCACTGAGGTAAAGAGCATGTTAACCAAGGAAACAGAAGGACAAGAAAGAGATTATTGATTCTACAAAGTCAGTTATTCTTAGAAAGAAGTGATTAAAGTAAATTGCTTTTTAAAAAATCTGTTAAATTAGAAATGGACTCATTGACATAGGAAACAAACGTTTGGTTACCAAAGAGTGGGAAGGGATAAATTAGAAATTTGGGATTAAAAGATGCACCCTTACTATATATAAAATAGAGATACAACAAGGAACTACTCTATAGCACAGAGAATTATATTCAACATGTTGCAATAACCTATAATGGAAAATAATTTGAAAAAGAATAGATACATATAGATCTATAGATGTATATCTGAACTACATTGCTATGCACCTGAAACATTTTAAATCAACTATAAGATTTAAAGAAAGATTATTTACAAAACAGATCTGTCTGTCAGGTATGAGTGAGACAATTACAACAGACTGAAAGCTAGGGTGTGTGAGGTGGGCAGTGAGAAGACCCCCACTGTAACTCTTGGATAGTACAGGTCAAGCAGCCACGGTGAATCTGGGTGCAGGCACAGCCGTGCCTCCTCCCACCACAATTTTCAGCAGCTGGTCTGGACAGGAGAACTGTCTTCTGCCTGGCGATACCCAATGCCCCCACCTTGTCCAATCATTCTTTCCAGGTCTCAGTGGACCTCTTATCTCTGATTCTTAGCCTACATTTTCAGACTCTTTGAATGTGAAAGGTTAGTAAGCATGAGATCCTGTTTCTTCTCTCAGAGGCCCAATCCACTAACATTTAAAATAGTCCTGAGCCCATATTTACACTTTGATATCATGCATGCTTTATTTCCTTTCGCACCCTGTCTATTCTGTTTCCCCACCTCACCCCCAGTTTTTCTTCCAGACAGAATCCATCTCATCTGACGTGGCAAAGCAGTTAACATTGATTCTGGTGAATGGTCTACTTTGCTACAGGAAGATTTTAACACAAATTCACATATATTGTTTTCTCAACAAATAGAAAAATATGCTCCACATTCATTGCGCTGGGTATGCCGAGCCTGCTATTTTGTAACTCACTGTCTCTTCTCTTTTATTTGCTTTCTCCATCACTGTCGATCTCTTCCTAATACTTCATCCTTTATGCAGACTCCTTCTTTGGAGCTGAATTTGGCAGTGAAGTTTGCCTAACTAATGAGAACCATATGCTATGCAATTACATTCCCCAACAATGTTCAGATTTGTTAGCAAATATTGGAGAAGGCAAGTTGAGAAACCAGAATCCAAAGACTGTCAGGAATTGGCACATTCTGACAGGTGAACCTGCTTTTGCCGGAAATGAGTTTTAGTTTGGGCTAGTATTGGTTTATGGAAAACAGGGATTTGTTTCTCAAAGTATCAGTTAATTAGTCGACCATTCTTGAAATGGCTAAATGCTTCTCTCATGCCTTCCCACTGGCATACCATACTAACCCCTATAGTTTAATTTTTAATATGTGACTATTACCTGTTGATTTGTTGGTTCTATTCCTCCCCAAACTGGAGACTGGAGTCATGATGCTACTCACTGTTGTAGCCCCAGCTCCCAGTAGAGGAATGTGAACATAATCACTATTCAGTAAATACAGCTCATAAACTAATGAGATAATGTCTCGAATACACTAAATGCCAATCATCATACACATTACATACATATAATTTGGGTAGCTTTTCTCCATTCTCAGCTCCTCTTTCGTTTTTGGGTTTTTTTTTGCCCCGTGAGAAAAAGTCACAAAGAGCGCTCTGGGGGGGAGAACAGGGGGAGAGAAGAGAAAAAACCTCAGAGGGGTCTCGAGATACCAAAAACACAGGAAAAAAGAACAGTGTTGCCATGCACAGAGAACAAAAAGAGTATCTAGCTTGGGTACAAGTGGCCAAGGACAGATATGTTCTGGCTTCCCAGAGGCTACCTAAAAGCTGTCTATCTCTTTAGCAACCTGCATGCTGAAGGTTTCCGCAGGAGCGTGTGTGCCCTCGGGCCATGCTGTGACCCTGGAGGGACTGACGCCCAGGCACCACATCTAATGACAGAGCTCTTCCTCTCCTCTGCCATCCATTGCCGTCTTGGGCTGGTCTCCTTGGAGGTGCAGGGTTCTCTTTGCACTTGAAGCTGCAAAGGCAATGGCAGGGCATTCCCATGGCTCCGATCTGTCCTCAACTGTGCCGTCACCAGAGAGACACAGCAGCCTGACGGGGACCCGCAGACGCCACTCTCCCCTCCCCACCCCGCCCATGACGTGCGGACGCTGGAGACAAAAGGCACGCTCACCGATTTAGAACACAAATACATAAATTTTTAATCTGCGAAAAATACAAAATGAAACCATGTACAAGTTATGTACAAACCCTTTTTACAAGACAAGAGAGTTATCACTGGTTGTTACAGATGACAGGGTAGATCATTTCAGAGCACCAGCATTTAGTCTCTCCTCCGATTTGGTTAGGTCCTAGTAATCCACCATCATCAACATCATCATGCCAACAATCAAACGTTTGAAAGACAGATGAATAAGCCACGCTCTTTTTCCTTAATGAACAAGTAGGCTAACCTCTGTGTAAGCATACTTTTGTTTTTCCTTTATCCCCTGAAGAAATGTTGAGTGGAGGTTTTGGTGTTAAGTGAGGGACGGTTTCTTTTCAGCATCTGGGGGGTGGGATGTGAGCCAGAAGTTTTACACAGGATGTGATTGTGCCACCTGGGAGTGGAACGTTTTTAATTAGGACTTCCAGGCCGACCTTGGTTTATGTTTGAAATGTTGCAGTTCTGGTCCAATGTGTCAGGCTGTACTGGGTAGAAGGAAGGGAAGGGGGTAGGCTGCTCTGGGGTGGGGTGGGGGGCAGGGTGCTTTGGTTTGGTGTGGAAATGGGGCTCCATCAACCTTGGCAGAGCTCCCCCAACCTGTCGGCTGCCGTCTCACACTGGCCCTGAATCCCACCGACAGACGCTCCAGTTTGCTCTGGCAGGCGTGTGCCGCTGCTGTGTGCACATTTCCATCTGAGATTCTGAGCAGCAGGCCCAGGCAGGCACGCTGCGGACCTTTGGTGTCACTCTGTCTCTGCTCTGCTAAACAGCAAGGTGGAGAGGAAGAAACACAGACGTCCTCGAGGGGATAAACAAACCAAAGGAAGGCTTTTTAAATTTGAAATCTACCTAGAAATTAAGGCTGGTTTCACCGAGTCAAAAACCCTCTGCACGCTGTATGTCCAGAAAAGCCACTAAAGCAATAGGCTGTCGTGTCTGTTTTAGCGACGCTGAAACCAAAGCTACCGGGATGTGGGAATGGGGAACAATGACATGGCAAGCACAGGGAGGCAAAAGAGAAAGCACACCTCAGGATCCTCTCTTCGGGTGCTTCTCTGGGAGGAGTTCCCGTGACCTAAAAGTCCTGTGCAACCTCCCTCGCCTACGGCATCCGAAGTAACACAGACTACAACCCGACTGCCTGCCAGAGCCAGGCATCCCCACAGACTCCACAGTCAAGCAAGCCATGTCCCTGCCCTCTTCAAGTGAGTCCTTTTACTTCTTACTCCCAAGTCACCGTCTCTTTCATTTCCAACCTCATATATGACCCACCCTCTCTTTCTCTCAACGTTTCCATCTCTATTAGTTCCCCTTTTCCTGATTCTGGAGTACCTGAGATCTCCTTTCCTTTTTCCTTTTAGCCCGTAAAAGAGCAGCTGCCACTGCCACATTCTGCTGCCTTCAAAAACCCCTCCACACCCACCCTTCCTGCTTTAGAGACACAGACACTGCGTACATACCTCTGTGCTTCTGAGGTCCAGAACCCACAGGACCTGCTGCGACCCTCTTCCCAGCTCCATTTTCCTCCATGCCTTTCGACTGCCAGACCTGCCTTTTTAGATAACGCTCAGCTTCTTCCACTTCGAACTAATTAATGCAACAGTTCTCAGCTGCCTGCATTCTTTCCTGCTCCTCCACAAGTTTCTTATATTGAGGTCCAAATGAAGTGTTCCTTTCACAAAGGATCGTTTCTAGATTCACTACCATTGCCCCAACTCCCAGCTCTTAACCCGACTTCTATACTTCCAGTGGAGCTTCTACAGCTATGAGGATCAGTAACACCTATTTGAGGAAGGTAGGACTTCACATGCTGTGTTTTCACTTGCAGTTTGTTTGAGTTGGAGTCTTTGACTTTGAGAACTCCATGCTGCTGAGAAAATGTTCAGCCCTGCATATCTGCCCTTGATGACTTCCAGGAAGAACTGGCTTCTCAAAACAGACGATCTAAAAATGCACAGGTTCATTTTTGCACAGGTTCAATTCATCACTCTGTTTAAAACACTTAGTGACTTTCCATAACTTTCTAGATGAAGCCTCAACATCTTAGCTTGACCCTGAAGACAAGTTAGTTTCTAGTGCTTTCTCTGAAGTCTCATCTTAGTTTCCCTCTGCTTCCATAGAGAATAGACAGATTCTGCAGTGGAATACCATGTCCAATTTGAATGATTTGTTCAGTCACTTTTAAGGTAAGGTGACTTACATCCCAGTTGGTTTGTATTTTTTTCTCTCTTTCTACCCCTCTGCCTCCTTTCGTTCCTTCTTTTTTTTTTTTAACTGAGATTCTCTTTGACAAAGAAAAATGGTAGATAAACGTTAGAAATATAGCAAAGAAATAGTTGGTTTACTAATGAGAGGGAAAAAAAAAATCAAATAAACAGAGGACAGGAAATGAAGTGAGAAGTAAGACTACTAACAGACTAGTAACTTCTTAGTGCCTAGATTCATATCCAGAATCTGGGGGTTGTGAGCCTCTAACTACATATGGGAGATATGGGTTAGAGAGGAAGGGACTGATGGAAACTGAGACAATAAACAAAGGCAGGCTGGGATGAAATTGAGAAGAAAATCCTAGGAATACACAGAAAAATCACACCAAAATGATTCAGGTGACTTTAAAATTTGAAATTTGTATTTTGAACCTAAAGAGATTCTGAAATGTAAAGCAGAGGAACAAATCTAACTATCATGTGCCTAGAGCAGAAGAGGCACTGCTTAGGTGATGCTGCAGGAAGGACAGAAAGGGATTTTCTCCATGCTCCCACTTTTAACTCAGATCACATCCTCTCCGATCTGAAAAGGACCTTAGGAGTCATCTAGATGAATCACTTTCATTTACAAATGAGGTCACTGAGACTCAGAGAGTTTCAAGAACATCTTCTAAGTGTAGAGTTAGTTATCTGCAGATGTAGCTTGTTGAACCATCATAATTAAACCGTAACTATGAAACTGGGACTCTTTTGCTTTTTGACATGAAAACATCCCCAATGTTCTTATGCTTTCTCACTTTCTTCCCTTCTAACCCTAACCAAACAGTTCTAATTCCCTGTTTGTTTAAAGTCCTCAATTAAATTTTTTACAAAGTACATCATAAGATGCCCCAAACTTTGAAAAAAAACAGCTTCTGGGTGTTCCCTGTATGCCTTAGTCACAACCACTTTTACTGAAGGTGTTTTATCTTGGGTCGAGACTATTTTATAAAATACAAAATTGCTGAGATGAAAGTAAGAGTTATCTTAATGAAAAAGATGATGATGCTTTTATAAGTAGGTGCTTTCTGCTTTTTCAATAGCCTGTTGGAGAGTCTGATTCCCAAAGCACTTGAGTTATTAATTTGGAAAAATGGTTTTTCTGGAATCCTAAAGTGGATGGGACATCAGAACCTTATAACAGACTACACCAATGATAGCCATCATTGGTCTATACTGAATGTAGCCAGGAAGAGGGGTCTGTCAGAGGGTGGTGAGGACTTCCTCTAGGCCAGAGAGCTCAACAAATAGAAACAAACCAGGAAGCTCTGGCATTTCTCCAAGCCCTTCAATGATCTTATAATCTTGTTTCTGTTTTCGTTTCATTTGCCATCTACCAGGTATGAGTTTTTGCCAAAGGAGCCAACAACCAGCCATTTTATAGATTTCCTTTTAAAAAAATGCATAGTTGTGTTTCCTTGCCCCTAACAATTCATTATTAACAAAGGCAAAACAGCATGACTTTGTTCTACCTTAGAAGGAAATGGATTCTTGCCAACTGGTTTTTGAAGGAGAGCCCTTTGCTTTAGGAAACTATCTTCACCATTTTGATTAAAAAAAAAAAAAAAAGTTTATATTCAAACCTCTAGCTGTGAAGAGCACGGAGTTTGAACTTGCATTTCCATTGTGCCTCGGTTTGGAGAGATGTGGAAGAGAGGGCAGCGGGCATAGGACATTGTGGCCTAACGTTCTCTAATAGAAGGACATTTAGGTGGTGGCCATCACTGCCTGCCAGAGGAAACCAAATAGTTAAGACAAATTCAGAAATGGTTATCAAGTTATCAGTAACCCACTAGGGTTCATGAAGGAAAGAAGAGCGTGGGTTGATGTACTAAGAATGTATACGAAGGTGACCCCAATGCAAAATTATTATGTATAATAGAAGAAGGCCTAGCTTTCAGAAAAGTTGTCAAATCTTAGCAAGGGATTCACCCCCACAAACCCATTTTACTTCTGTTGGAAACCAAGAAATGTGTATAAGCCTGAATAGAGACTGCTGACGTCATTTTAGTCTGCTGAGTAGACTAGTGATTGGTTATAAGTAGTTTTTAAACAATCCAATTGGACATACATTATATTCACAATACTTTTATAGAACTAATTCTACAAAATGTGACGACAGGGTAACCACAGTCTGACAAGTCACTTCAGGACGACGCCTACAAGGTGGAAACACGACATTGGCTCTGCAGGGACTGGACAGAGTTGGAAGCTCATTTTGCTTATGGTGGTAATTGGAGTGCTTAGTGGACATGTTTTCATGATGGTTTCATTGCTTGGCTCTGATCTGATTTGCAGTAACATACTATGTACCACGGGGTCGTGGCCTAATGGAAGAGATAGCATGGGACTTTCAGGGGATATTTTGGTCAGTTTTTTTTTGAGTGTCCACAATTAACATTTTTAAGAAATAAAAATCATACTCATGCTGCTCCAGAGACCCTGATAATTCTATCAAAGACTTATCATTTTGAAGTTGAAAATCATTTGGAATGGAATAATTGCTGGGATGCCGTGACACTGAGCATGCAAACATCAGAGCTCAGACACATTAGAATTGTGTCTGATGGCTAGAGAAATCTTTTCTGACCACAGTTTGAAGTGGCTGATACATAGGATTTCATCGCTGGTAATTTTTAAAGGCCTTTTCTAATAGTCTGTATTAAGTGTATTCGTAACTGTCCTTGTATTATTATTTTTTAGGTTCCTGTAACAAGTTTGTGTATTTTGTCCCAGCAACTAAAGAAAAGCCTGCAAAATTTAGATCTGGGCAAAAGTCGTCTCCTCGATCACGAAACTTTTCACTTTTACACAAAAACTCAGTGAATCGCATGAATGTGTTATCCCATCCTATTGTTAAGTAGAACTGTTAATTGATGTTTACAAACTTTCAGGCTAAAGCCCTGGACTTGGGAGATAGGGAGAGAGTCCACCAGACCTTACCAAAGTTGAAATTACTTGCTCGGTTCGTTTGGAGACATGAAATGAGAAGCAAAACAGTATGTAGGAGTCCCCGCCATTGGAACAACAAACAGAGAAATGTCTTCTGTGCATCTGGTCCTCAACTTCCACATCCCAGGCATGCTCACAACCCTCCTGGCATTGTTAGTTGGCAGGGTAAACCCGATCTGGCATTTGTAGCAAAGCTGCAAGAAGGTCTTCCCTTTAAATATACGAACAAAAGGATAAGAAATACTGGATGAAAACTAAAACTACAAAAATATGACTTTTGAATGTGAAAATAAGTGTTTCCATTTATTAAGAGCTGGTGTCAGTGCAGCCAAAATACACATCCATCCAGGAAATTCACCTGCCCCCTTTTGTCTTTTTTTTTTTAATTTACTAAAATACATGTTTACATTATTGGGCCATTTTAAAATTGCCTTAATAATCCAGTTGCCTTAATTACAATTAATTGTGGTGGTGACCATCACTCTCCTCAAAGAAAGAGATAAAGAAGAGAAATATGCATTAAGGAGTCTGGCCACTTAGGCATTTTGATTTTGCATTGTTAGATATAGGGAAGATATTCGACAATGAGAAAAAAAGAAAAAATATATATTTTCTTTCTAATAAATAAAAATAATTTAAAATGCTAGAGGCTATACAGGACTATCTTAGTATGTTCATTTATAAATGAAATCATTTTCTTTTCCAAAATACATGGAAGCAATATTCAAGGCAGACAAGGAGAAAGATCTGTCTATTTTTCTTGCAATTCTTGCTTATCCTAACGTTTCCACCAGTGATAAAGCATGTTAAGAGGAAGAAAAGTCACGTCACCATTTATGAAGTTTGTCAGGCTTTAAAAAAAATAGTTCTGGTCTCCTGGGAGTCAACATTCATCTTCAACTTCTCTGATTGGTGGAATCAAGCTGCTTGTGGATTTATATTGGTTGATCTGGTTAGCCATGTGGGTACTCATGGGCTTGATTTGAATGTTTCTGGGATAGGCATTATCCGGTTCATCTGTAAACCATTTCTTTTCTGCTAAAGGGCAAAACGGATAGAGAACAAGAAGGAGAAATTAGAAGCTTAATTAGTCCTAGGCCAAAGATTTTGGAAAGTTCATTGAAAAATGCAAAAAGGTAATCGAGAGAAGCTGACAGTGAGTAATTGCTAAAAGAGACGGTATAGTGTAGGGAGAAGCCCAGAACCTGAAACATACCTCTGCTGCCTGTAGCAAGTGACGAACCAACGGGCTATTGGGACCTGGAGGCACCAGGGGTGGACTTCAGAGACTAAAGAGGGGGTGGAAGATTAACTCTGGCAGTGTTCTCTGGGGTTCCTTTGGTGGCCTGAAAAGCTTTGGTGGTGAGGAAATGATGAATATAACAAGTATTAGGCATGGGTGTTGCACCTAAAGAAAGACTTGTGCATCTGTTGATTTGAGTGGAGATGAAGGGACACTGTCCCTTCCACAGATTAAGAGATCTAGAATCTGCCGCAGGGTTTCCTCCTGCCAGCCTTTAATTGGCTTTGCTTGTACAAGCTCACTTAAAGGTATGTCTCAATTATAACACTCCTTTATTTCTTTTGAAGCCAGTTTTGGGAGTCTTAAAGTAAGCCCACAGATTTTTGCTGGCCAGTGAGGGTGAAACATTAGATTAACAACGAATGTTTTAAAAGCCTTTTGAGATGGCTTTAATTTCAATAAAACTCTCTGTTGGTATGAAGTTATGAAAAGAATTCCTAGTGGCACTATCTTAACCGACTATAATCACCCAAGCTGTCAACAAGGGAGCTTGACAGAGTCTTGGCATTTCATTCTCACCCTAGATCCAGAGAAGGCTGGAAGAGAATGCTGAGTCAGGGCATTCAGAGTCTGGGGTGAGGATGAAATGGCCTAGCATCCTCCTGGCATCAGTGCTATTTCACAAGACTCAGCCCTTATCCCTACCTCTTTTTACACTGGAATTTTCTGGGAAATCAGCCCCGTGTATAGATACAAAGGAACTGGGGCAAACAGTGCATTCTAACTTGAGAATCATATGCCTCATTTTAGTGGCTTTTAGGAAAAGCAAAGAAAAAGGAAAAAGCTTTCAAGTACGCCCACTGCTATAGAGACGATGGCCTCTCTGGCCTCCTCTTCTGTCTTTCAGAACAATTCATAACTGCCTTGTCGGTGGTCCTGGATGGATATGTTAACAAAATTGCTCACCTGGCTTGATTCTCATAGAAGACCATGCGTATGTGTCCCTGTATGGCTAATGATTTATAGATCCGACACCTATGATCAGCTCATGACCACTCTGCTTGTCTCTCCTTGGTCCATGCTTCCTCTTGCTGTGTCCAGGGCCCCGGGCCCCCGGAGTAGACACTAAACTAAGTTGAGCCTTGAGAAAGCTCACTCACTATCCTTTGTTCAGCAGCTCGGTATACCCCCTCCTCAGGAAACTTCCTGCCTCTTGCATCATTCTCCACCCCCCTCTCCTTCCTGCACTGGCTCTCTCACCTATTATAATTAAGTTCACTTTGATTTGAACAGATTGGACGATAGGAATTCATAATGCTACATCCTCACAGTGAAGCTAACTGATTAAGTGCTTTAAATTATTCCCCCTGACAGAATGATAAAGTTACAATCTGTTCTGAGATGATCTACAGCTTGCCAGACTCCTACAGCTTCTTTCTACATTCATTTATCTTTTTGTCAAGCAGAGTTTTTTTTTTTTTTTTTCTCCTAAGCTTCAATTCCATAGATCTTTTAAAGTCATCAGCACATCTGAATTATTAATGAGGCTTTAGAGGCAAGGTTCCTGATGGGCTGGTTAAAAAAGGTTGTATAGAAATCCGGGACTGTGTACACATCAAAATAATTTCAGCTCCATTTAAAAAACCATTTAGTTCAAGTGTGACATAGATGAACCATTATGCATTTGTGGAAACCAATTTTTTTGTGATCTACGATTAAACTAACCTTTCAGAGAGGAGTAAAGTATGATGGTTATCATGTTTTAAAAGCATTGCCAGGCCGCTGAAACAATTTCCAACTATGACTTTTTCCAATGGTTTAGTTGTAAGGATGATTTTCAGAAAGTGTCTGTGCTGTTTGCCTGAGCTGCCCTTGGTTTTGGCTGTCCCCTTCTGTGGACTGATTTTGCAAAAGGATTTAGTGCTAGGTTGGACATGCCAGGTTGGAAGGGAGAATGAACTCTGCTGATGGAAACGAGTAGGTCTTCTGGGTGAAAGACCTAAGACAGCTGCAATTTGCTGAAATTTTTACAACTGCTGCAGAGAATAATTGTTCAGAATTTAGTCTTTACAGTTCAGCTCAAAGTTGGCATTTTGACCTTTCATGGCAGAGAGAGTATCAATTTCCTTCTGCTGTCTATAAGAAAGAGAGCATTATTTCCCTCATTTAAGTGCCTTTCTCTCTTTCCTTTTACATTTCTTGCCATAAAAATAATCTGAGCAGAGTCATCCTTGTGTTGGCCATTCAGCTTCTGCACAGAAAGGAGTTGTTTTAAAGCATATCCTGGTGATGAGTTGAGGTTTTCATTATGCCTGAGAAACAGGTTTTTTAATTCAGGTGCCTTGTAAGATATAAACAGCTATGTTGTTGGAGACTTGGTTAGATAAGATGTTGAAGAAATGGAAACAGATGAATGCTAAAACGGGTAGGGGCAAAGGTGCTTCTCCCAAAAGGCTTGATAGGAACCACACTTTAATGACTGCCAGTCATTCTGCTCCAATGGAGAGAGCCTTGCTATGCCAATGACACTTTGGGTTATCAAACTTTGCCTTCCAAAGAAGGAGCTGCATCACTGGGTGCTTACAAAATTGGCCATAAGGAAGAATGCTCAGGGAAGGAATTCAAGTGAGTGTTGGAGTGGTCCAAGGTCAATCCAAAGCCCTGAGCTGGTCTCCTCTCCCTGCCACACCCCACAAGCCAGAAAGAATTCTGGGGGCTTTATTATTATCCCTAGAATGAGAAGGGCAATGGATCTGGTTTTGAGGCCCTCCTCCCTGCCAAAGAAAAAGAAATTCATTTGTTAATAAGTTCTTGAAGATGAGATACATGGTGTCATCACTGTGAGTAGAAGGTGTGATGTGCCTCAAGTCAAGGAAGGAGTGGCATTTCAGTCTGTGACAAGTAGGCTGGTAGAATATGATCAAACCCAGAAATAACTGCAGAGAGTCATGACACTGCCATTGGGAGGCATCACCTATGAAGACCAGACAGGCCACAAGCCATCCACTGCAACCAAGGAGATGGCATAGGACAGTAGGTAAGGCCAAGGGCATCTGGCTCTCTCACATACTAATTGCTGGCTCGGAGTGGGTTGTTACATAATTTATCTTAACTTCAGTTTCTCTTCTGTAAAATGAGGCTAATGATCTTTCTAATGGTGTTGTTTGGATGAAAGGGGTTAGTGTCCATGAAGCACTTATCTACATACATGATACGTCAATGTGAGCTGTTAAGGCTATCAGTATTATTGGTAATATTAGGGGGCATTATAGCATAAAGTTCATGGACTTTAGTTTTAATCACCTCTCTGGTACTTCCTGGCTGGGTGACTTTGAACAAATCTGTCCCTTGAATTCTGTAGCTTTCAGATGGAAATACTAAGTGCACCTACATCTGAGGTTGTCTGGAGAACTGAATGAGTTAATATACACAAAGTGCTTAGAAGAGTGTCTGACTCATGATAAGCACTTGGAGTGTGTTAGGTTTTAGTTATGGTTAGTTAACCATGCATAAGGTTAGCATGAATATGAGTACTCTCAGTGCCAAAGGACATAAGAATAGGGGATAGCTTTTGGTGTGATTACAGATGAACTAGGGGTGGAGAACTGAGGTGTGTAAACCTGGGTGCTGGCCAGAAGAATGGGGATTGTGGCAGCAGAGATGGGGAAGAAGGAATTGACTGGATATCCCTCCTTAGGAAGAGGAGGAAAGGAAGGGGCAACAGCATCCAGAGGTACTTGTGTCTTTGAAATATTGGCTTTCAACTTGGCAGGTGCCCTACCTCACCTGCAAGCCATCTGTGTCTTCCGTTGCTACTTTCATCACTGGCATTTGAAGGTCTAGAATAAGGGTCAGGACTTCCTCCAGCCATGAAGGATCCCAGAGGAGTGGGCTATGGCAGAGAAGGGCTTGTGATCTGGGCTGACATAACTGCTGGGTTTTCTGGCTCTGTGGGTTGTCAGTGCTGTGGGATCTGGCCTATTGTCTTAGCACTCCCAAGATAAGAGCACATGAAAAGGGAGATGATGATACAGCAAAGGTATTTGGAATAATTGGGCCTTTTCTTACTATACCACTACCTGAGGTTGAAACAGAAAGGGCTTGAAAGGGAAAGATTCCATTTGGATAGAGATAATAGTTGAGAACAGTAAGAGCTAACAAAGAGCTCAATCCTTCAAAGGTAATACTGTGTGGGAGCTTCTGAGAGCTAGTCTGGCCTTCACCATCCGCCCAGCAGACCCCAAGGCCCCAGTGGACCCCACCCATCCCTACTGTCTCCTTTCCTTTCCATGGACAAAGTATGGCTAGTTCCTAGAAATGAAAACTGCAATAGAATCAGAGTAATTTTCCCTTATAAAAGCTGTCTTGCTCCTTTGCAGTTGTCCAGTGTGACTCTATTTGACCTCTTTTAACTGTTAAGTCTGATGCTGCCATTCCCTAAGCAGAACAACTGCCCCCTCCTGACACTCCGTAAGGACTGACTTTTCACTCCTCTTTTTCAAGTGGCAGGGGATAACCCCTCTTACCTCCCTAGGTGATGGATGTACAACCTCCTGGTGGGACATAGTCTACCAGGTTAGTGACAGGTGCCCACATCTACTTCATCACCTTATGACAAAGCAGCGATGGACTGAAAGAAGCTGATTGAGACACTGATTTTTTACCCTGCCTTGACTTCTGCAGTCCCTGAAGTTTCTGCACCCTCTTCTTTCTCCTTCAGGAGCCTGTTGCTATAGAAACCTGGCAGGTTGATTTAATTGTCTCTATTGGGATGCAGACACCTTTCAGCTTTTCCCATGCTGAAGAGGAGCCAGTCAAAAGGTTTTTCTGGTCATCTGGGATCTTGATGATGCTGGCAGGAGGCACAGTCAAGTCTCTCCTCTCATTGAACTCACAGGACTGTTCCCTTCTCTCTGAAGCTGTGTACTCAGCCCAAGAAAGTGCCAACAGAATGATAGTACTATGAAACACCTACAGGCATTCCTTGAATTTTCGTAAGACAAGCCAAGGAGGTGAAGATAATTTATCAAACAACTAAAGATATAACAATATTTAAGATCAATTTATTTCAAAAATACTTATTGAGCACATAATGAGAGTAAGGTTCTGGATCAAAACCTGTATGGTCTTCCCTGGTGGCTCAGATGGTAAAGAATCTGCTTGCAATGCAGGAGACCTGGGTTCAATCCCCGGGTCTGGAAGATCCCCTGGAGAAAGAAATGGCTACCCACTCCAGTATTCTTGCCTGGGAAATCCATGGACTGAGGAGACTGGCGGGCTACAGTCCATGGAGTCGCAAAAGAGCTGGACATTACTTAGTGACTAAACAAACTCAGAATTTGAAACCTCTCCTAATGGTGGTAGAAATCTAATTGTAAGGGTCCAAGTCTCTCTCCATCCATTTGAACTGGCTTCAGGAAGGGGCCTGCGTAGCAGACATTAGGGATGTTGATTGCATGATCACCTGAGTGCTGAGGCTGAGGTTTCACTGCGCCTCCTGGTCTATCCATTTACTTAAGCTTCACCCCTTTCAAAGCCTAAAACAAATTGAACTGAATGGCTTACAAATTGCTTCTCTTTTAGAATGGTGCAGATAATTGAGTTTCTAGCTGTTGTTCTCTTTAAGTACACATACTTTCTCTTCAAATAACCTTTCACTTTCCACCCTGACCTACTTATTTTTTGGGTGGGGAGGGGGAAGAGAAGAGGTATCACATGAAAACCTTGAATGTCTCCTTCCTAAGAGAACCTGAAAGAAGGATGAGAAGTTTGGGGGTCACATGGAAAACAATGGAAGAGATTCTTCATTCAACTGAGGAAAGAACAATATAGTAGTTTGGACTCATAAAAAATAGAAGTAATAATGATACCTTTTTCATCACTGAATATATCATTAGCCAAGTACAATCAACTTTCAATTGTATGCCTGAAGTCCAGGGAACATCCCCAAATTTCATTGCAAGTCAGTCTGTTCCCACTCCATTCCCATCACAAGATCATCTCATCACAGCTGCTAACAGATTGTATATAAAACGCATTTTGGATTTACTTCTCTCTATCTGCCCAATCTCTGGTTGGGATTTCACAAATGTCTGAAAGGCGGGTGGGAGAAGAGACCCAGGTAATACAGAGACTGAATCATCAGCCCCCAGATAACTGGGTATGGGCTATTGAGTTGATACATATAGCTGAACAGCTTTAATTTGGGAGTCATTCTGATCCAACTTCAACGAGACCATTTTTTTTAAAAAAACCATTAATAATCCTCCTGGTTTAAATCGAAAGGAGGGTAAACTATTCACCAAGAAGCAGGTTTGCCAAGTGGAAGAGCTGCAAATGTTTTCCAGAAAAGTTTATCACTTGGCATTATCACTTGATTTAGTTGGTCTTGCCAAGATAGACACAGAGATGTGGACAGACTGATGGGGTACTTGGTTGGGGTGATGGTAATGGGGGGAGGTGGAGGAAGCTGGGTTTCTTGATGGGAAAATGCTTTTGGACTTGGAGCAAGGTACCAAGATGGGCAGGGAGGCCACGTGCAGATTGAAAGGCAAGCCAGATGGAGAGAAGTTCCCCCCAGATTACCCAACCCCAACCCCAAAAACACCAAAACAAACTCTAAGGGGTCTAGCGGTAGCAGCAGGACAGCCTCATTGCACTGAGCAATTTAGAAAGTGGAGGAAGGGGGAGAAGAAGGAAGGGGAGAGGAGGGGAGGGGGAAAAAAAAGCAAAACAAAATAAATAAACCCACAAACAGAACAATAAAAATAAAAATAAACAAACCAATAACAGAATAAAATTTGTAACTCCTTTTTTTTTTTTTAATTTCACAAAAGTTTTCACAAGGACAACGTTATAGAAGAAAACCCCCAGCAGTGGCTAGGTCATGCAGAACCATTAATTGTCATACCTTGGCCCATTCTATTCATCCTTGTTGCACTTTAGAGAGAGAAGTAAGCTATGTGAGTTTTACAATGCTTTTAAACTGTCATATTTCCTGTTGAGCACTTTAACTGGCACATTCTTATAGTTATAAATGTTCTGAGGGCATAACTTTATAACCTCCTTTGCAAAGAATGCATGAATAGCTCTTCATGATCCAAAACTAGGGGATATGTATGTGTATGTATATATATACATATATATATGTATATATGTGTATATATATAGTTATATATAAAAAAGATAGTTGTATGTAATGTATAAATCAATACATAGGGACAAAAATAATTTGAAAAAATCTTCCACTCATAGGGTTTTTTAATATCCATGTATACAATGATTGCCTACTCAAATACTGATTGAAACGCTGCCTTGCCCTGTCTTGGGTGTGGGGATGGAGATTTTGACTAAGCCTCACTATTTCGTCAGTAAAAGTGCTTGTCAATTCACACAGCAAGCAGATCTCAAAAACTATCATGCTTGGGGGGGACAGGGGATTCAAAATCTAAACCCAAAACATTCACCATAAAAACACCTTTTTAGAGATGGTTACAGCTGTGACATTTTCCTCTCCCCCCAACACCTGTGCTGTTCAATGAAATATGTTTTCAAATAAACATTTCAAATATATATATATATATAACTTTATATATATATAGCAGCCCAAGGCTAGTCCATCCTCACAAGAATTTGATTATGGTGGAGTTGGCCAATATTTAAGAACTATTGTACCTTGCCTAAAGCATGGTTTGCATGCATAAAATATCTGAAAACTGCATATTGAAAAAAGGGTATTTCTCTACTTTTTTGCTCATGCTTACTAACTGTTTAAAAAAAGAAAGAAAATGAAAGAAAAAAAGAATTATACCAAAGTGTGTTTGGCTCACTGTTGCACTGTTTTTCTTCTCTCCCATCTGCTAATGACAAGGGGTCCTTCTCTATGACTGTCATTCACCTGCCTAAGTAGATTGGCTATGTTAAAGAAACTGACGATGAGGAATTTCTCCCAATGGCTTTCTGCTCTGGAACAGCCAGCATCATGCAGCTGTGCCAACAGTTGAAGCTGGCTTTTGTCTTTGTGGAGTCAACTGTGGCTTGATCCTCCTACATTCTGATTTATTTAGCATGCTGGCTTCTAGAAAAACATGATCTGCCACTGGGTTTATCTTCCTCTCTCTCTACCATGGCCCCAGCCCTTGCTCCTCCGTGGCATTGGGGCCCTAGCTGATCAAACAAAGGGGAGTAAAAAGGCCCCCAGAGAATGCGTGGAAAAATACTTGCTCTTTCCTGAGCATTATTTATTCTGTACATAGGTAGGTAATTCACCTTTTAAAAGATGTAAAAGTCCCAGGAAGGCAGTTTTTAATGACTTACATCTGATATTTATGATACATATGGCTTTTCATCCCAAATGTCAAAAGTGAGAGAAAAAACATAGCTATTCATATGGCAGCATAAGGAGACAGAATAACAATATGCAATCAAACCTCTTTTCACTTAAATGAAATGACTTGCATTTGATACATCCAAGAAGGGAATACTAGTCTTTCCGCCACAGTAAGGGTAGAAATGTTCCTATAGACTCTCAAAGGAAGCTAACTCTGGGACAAAAGGCCTTGGTGAGTAACTAAAAAAAATCTCTGATGTTCTAACAAGCAAGTGCTTCATCATCTACACAAATGGCGAAAGACTTTCAAATGCTTTGAGATACTTCAGCCCAGAGAGTAGAAACAACCGATAGATATGTTTCTGTTGCTTTTGGGTTGCTTATTACAAATACATGTGTGTGTATATATATATATTATTGTGTATATATAAAAAAAATCAAGAGAAGGAAAGAAAGGAAAACAACAACAATAAAATCAAAACCCAAAGCACCCTGATAAAACTGATACATCAGAATAAACTTCTCTTCTACACTAACTAAACTTGCTTTGCATAACTGACGTGGGGATCACAAGCACTCCCTTCTCATCTGTGAACTCATTCCTGCAGTGAGCTATTTATGTCTGGAGCATGCCTTTGGGTTATTTTTCCCCTAGAATCATAAATAACTTTTGGTCCGTCTGCTTATTTGCTGTTGTGCTCAAGGGTTTTATGGTGGTAGAATAAAAATGACAACCACATGCACACTATCATACATATGCAAATATGTGTAAAAAAAATGGGGGGGACTACAGGGGAAAATGGGGGAAGTTACTGTTGGAAACACCCACTGGGGAAATGAGTGGCAGATACAGTTTCACACACGGAGGCAGTGGATACACACATCAGAGCCGCTCTTCCTGCACGTACTTCTGTTTGTCTCGGGACTCCCGGGACTTGGGCCGGTTCTGTCGGTTTGCCGTGGATGGGATGGAGTGGACAGAGGAGCTCTTCTTGCTAGAGGACTGGGACGAGTGGGAGGAATGGGAGAGGCTGGCCCGGGACTGGCCGGCGTTGTGGTCAAACTGCATTAAGCAGAAGATCAGGTCCGTCGGCACGAGCTCAAACTCGTATGGGGGGTTGGTGATGACATACCTGGATGCAGAGAGCAAAGAAGGCACAGAATGAGGATAATGTGGTGGAGATTTCACCTCTCTGAACCAAACCAGGTCTACCCAAGGATTCCAGCCAGCCCAAGGCCTTAGACAGTGTCTTCGGAGTGGAACAAAATCTGTTTAGCTCCACAGAGGAAGTCAGCCATGAGCCCTCCCAGAGATTCTGAATTAGCGCTAGACAAGGGAGAAACAAGTGGTCTGTATACCCACTTCAGCACAATATCAAGTTCCCTTCTGATCCTGAGACGCACATACATGCGGGAGGTTTCAAGGACTGCACTGCATCTCTTATCCTAGAATGTTACAACAATCTTATACCCATATCACAGTATCTTTGTTTACCCCCATCTAGCAAAACCTTAGTCCTTTCTCCCTCTTTATCTTTTAAAGATCAACATTGGTGAAGGACTTCACTAAATGGAAAGCTATAAAACACCTCCCTGCCTGTATGTCCCTCAGGCTTTAACTGTTCTCCTCAAAGATCACCTTTTTCCCTGAATATCAGATATGACTAAAAAATCACCATTTCATTTCTAGAAATGGATCTCAAAAGTGTGGTTCTCAGGCCAGATATATTAGCATCATCTGAGAACTTCTTAAAAATGTAAATTCTTTTTTGAAACTGATGTATACTTGATATACAATGTTGTGTTACTTTCAGGTGTATAGCAAAGTGATTCAGTTATATATATATATATATATATATATGATCGATTTCAGATTCTTTTCCATTTTAGGTTACTATAAGACATTGAATACAGTTCCCTGTGCTATACAGGAGGTCCTTGTGAAAATGCAAATTCTTAAGCAACTCCACTCAGGTCCTACTGAGTCAGACACTCTGGATTGGGGATCAAGCAATTTGTTTTTTAATACATTTTACAGATGATTCACATGTTCACCGAACTTTGAGAATCCACTAGACTACAGAAATTATGTTCAATTCTGGCTCTATTGTATAATCTCTGGGCATTCAAACTTCATATTTTCATTTCATACCAGTTAAGTCAGAGTAATCAGAGTACTTTTAGAAAGCACCCCCAGAGATTCTACTCTGCAAGTAGGTCTGAGAAACACTCATCTCCATGGCATGGTTTCCTGAGGCATATTATACAAACACACTGACTTTGACAATTCTAGGATGTACGTTTAATTTTAGGCTGCTATGAATTTACTTTAAAGTGTATTAGAGAAATGTAACTAGCATACATGAACTGTAATCTTTTTTCTGCTTCAGGTAATAACATACAGTTTTCTTTAAAATAAATACATAAAAGTAAAAAAGTGAGTCAACTGAAAAATACATTAAGTAAAAATATATGTTTCCATGAAAACAGAATATATATATAACTGAATCACTTTGTTGTGCACCTGAAACTAACACAACATTGCAAATCAACTATACTCCAATAAAAATTAAATATATGCTATATATGTGCTTGTGTGTATGTGTATATATATATACTCGTAGAAAGGGAGAGCTTCCCAGGTTGTGCAGTGGTAAAGAACCCACCTGCCAAGCAGGAGACGTGGGCTCAGTTCCCGGGTCAGGAAGATACCCTGGAGAGGGAAATGGCAACCCACTCCAATATTCTTGCCTGGGAAATCCCATGGACAGAGGAGCCTGGCAGGCTACAGTCCATGGGACTGCAAAGAGTCGGACACGACTGAGCAACTAAACAATAATGACAGATATATATGTATGTATGTATGTATGTATGTGTGTGTGTGTGTAGATAGATAGATACATAGAAATAGATATATATAGATATATTAATATAGATATATATCTATCTATATATATGTCTAAGACAGGGCAAAGGAACCATTTACCTTAAACAGTAGCAATATGAAATATTTCTATATGAGATACCAACAGAATTATCCCAGTAGCAGGAGTCTGGAGGACACGTTTTCCTGCAGACTTGTGTAATTAGGGGATGGATGGAACAATCCCATAAAACTTGAATTCTCCTCACAATGTCTTTATACTTGCTATTGTAATGAAAGAAAAAAGCTTCCCATAACCACCACCAAAGTCAGCATTGGATTTAATACGAGCAGAGCAATTTGCATGTTGAGAACACGGATGTGGACTTTCGCCCTCATTGTAGGAGACAAGAGAGAGCATTTCTGTCTCTGCCTTTGGCTGGGAGGACAGAGTGGAAACACACTCACCTCTTCGTGCATTGGCTGGGGGTGCTGAGGTGAGCATCTCTCAGCCGATAAATTCCAAAACAAAGCATATTGTATGTTTTCAGAGCTTTGCAGAACAGATCACCATAACAACCACCATCCTGGGAGACAACAAAAGAACAGAGAGAAGAATCATTTTTATTTGCCTGAAAGTAAAGGTCCTGGGGGTGGGTGGGAAGGGCCTTTTCATGAAAGCTCATATTAGTGTCTCCTGAGTCGGAGGGTCTGCGCTGAGGAACAGTGGCTGAAGAAGTTAAATGTGCTTTATAGCCTACACCCCAATGTTGGTGACTTTTTGGGATCAAATAAGAATGGGTTTTCCTCTGGTTCTCTCCAGTTTTCCATCTGCAGCAATGAGAGCTCTAAGGAGCTGGTGCCTCTCCTTTCTTTAAGGTATGATATAAGCTTGAAGGTCTCAGATGTCTGTTCGGCTAAGGAGAAGAAATCAGCTCTGCAAAATGGTGATGATGTTTAGCCCCAGCTCAGTTGCAACCACAGTGATCTGACCGTGTTGTCAAAACTGCTCAAGTGATAATTAAAATCACTACCAGAAGAAAAGCCCCCACCAGGCACTATGGTGACAGGCTCTTTCAGAGAAGGACTGTGTGAAAAGCACAATTTACAGACCTCGGAGATGGCAAGGGTGGAAGAGAATGTGTTTCCCCAGGAGCTGGAGGTCTGCAGGCTGAATAACTGGGATTCACAGTTCTAATCAGTTCACAGTCGCTTTCCAAGGGTCTGGGGCCAGATGAGGAATGTGAAAGCAAACTCACCCAGAAGCATTGGCTTCCTGCAGCCAGCTAGCTTCAGGTATTAATTCAGGAAGGGCACCAAGGGCTGACTTCATTGGGAATAAACTGATTGCATCTGTCCTTCCTGTTACTGAAACTGCCAGATGGGCCTCATCCTAGAGAACACAACTGGAGCCAGATCTTACCATTATTTAAAGTCTTTATTCTTTTAAAGTGTTGTTTAGTTACTAAGTCATATCCGACTCTTTTGCTACCCCATGGTCTGTAGCCCGCCAGGCTCCTCTGTCCATGGAATTTTCTCAGGCAAAAATACCGGAGTGGGTTGCCATTTCCTTCTCCAGGGGATCTTCTCAACCCTGGGATTGAACCCACATCTCCGGCATTGGAAGGCAGATTCTTTACCACTGAGGTATACCAGTGAGTAAATGATAGATAAAAAGAGCCACTAGCTATGGAGATGACCTTTTAAAGAAGCTCTAAGTCTAACATAGATTTTTGTCCCTCACCAAGCTAAAACACGGTGCAAATTAGCATCATAGTTTCAGAAAACATGGAGAAAGTGACCCTTTCCTTGGCTCCTTCTCTACTATTTGGACTTTCTGGGTGGCAGGCAGTACTGTTCATACACTAGGCTTACTGGCTCTTAAGACTGCTGGTTCCAGCCCTTGAATACATTCATGGAGTTGGGCTGGGAATAAGGGTCAATTAAGACTGCATACTTCTGCCAAAGTGCCTGAAGCAGGCTGGTGTGTGGAACCCAAAGGGAGGCACGGGTCACCTCTGCAGCAGGGAGGGCAGTGGGGGAGTGACTGAGTCCACATTAAGAATTAATAGTCCACGTGCATGTGTGCTAAGTCGCTTCAGTCCTGTCTGATTCTTTATGACACTATGGACTGTATAGCCCACCAGGCTCCTCTGTCCATGGGATTCTCCAGGCAAGAATACTGGAATGGGTTGCCATGCCCTCTTCCAGAGATATAAAAGTCCACAGGAGCTTTTGAAAAACACTGATGGCCAGGACTCTGGGCCTGACCCTGACATTAGTGGTTTTCAGAACACCATAGCTTATTATGTGCCTCTAGACCCACTGGCCCAACCAATAGCATCTCATGTGGATCCTTTATGTCTCTAATTCCAGACTGAGGTCTCCTAATTCTGAGGCTGGAAATAGTCACTCTCCCCTAGCCCCACTCCTTGCTCCAGAGGTGACCCATGCCTCCCTTTGGGCTCCACATTCCAGCTTGCTTCAGGCACTCTGGCAGACCAATTAATGTAGAGTTGGGGTTAAGTAGCCCTGAGCCATGCTAAGACCTGCAGAATGGGTTCTCTAACTTGTGTGCATCTGAAACCAGCTGATGCCTCCCATCTTGTGGCAGAAGATACTCTAGGAGAGTCAGTAAGCCCATGGACTCTGAAGCCAACATCCCTGGTACAAATTCCCTGATAGGGCCAGTCCTCAGTTTCTCTGAGCCCCAGTTTCCTTAGAACATCTGATAAGAGAACCTATGCCAAAGGGTCACCGTGGGAATTAAATGAATGAATCCATGTAAAGCACAGTGACTGATACACAGTAAACCATAAGCATCACCTCTGACAGCTCTTTTCATGTGGAAAGAACCAAAGGCAGAGGTCTAGCCTGACACATTCAGATCTGGCCATTTTCTAAGTAACAGGCTCAGGTGCCCTCTGCCCCCTGAACTCACCCCCAGGTCCGCAAAGGGCCCGTCCAACAGCGCTAACTGGGCCACACGGCAGCGGTCCCTGTTGGCCAGCGTCTGGGGGGTGCTATAGCCCCCGCGCAGTGCATTCTCCTCGGCAATCAAAGCCTCCAGCTCTGGTGTGGCTCCTCCAGTCACCAGGGTCCGTATCAGGGTAAGGATGTTGTCATTGAAGTATGTCTGGGAAGAGATGGGAGCAAAGTCCTTTAAGCACACACACCCTAAAGTCAAGACAACCCACATTCAAATTACAACTTTTCTTGATGTCTCCTGTTTAAAGTTCTGGTCTGTCTCTTCAAATAGTTTTATGTGGGAAGTGAAAAGACAGCAGCCTCCAATTATTCCATTCTTTTCTCTCCTACTTGGTTCTGCTTTGAAAGCTGACTTTAAAACCTGAAATTCTGTGGATTTTTATTTAAGGGCTAAAGTCGAAATGGTTAGTGTTTACCATAATTGGTGCTAGTAGGGATGTAAATACGGATTCCTCCCCTGCTTGCTAAGGGATTCTGGGCGTATGTAATAAAATGCAGCCAGACCCAGGCAGGACGGCCTCTGAGTTTCTGCAACCCATGTGCCAGGAAGCTGCTTCCCCCAACAATGGTAGAACTTCTCTCTTTAGAATGAGATGCCAAGAGCATCATTAAGGCCATGCATTCGACGATTTATCACATACTTAGATAACAGGCTAAACCAGAAGTTTCTATCAACTAAATATGCCAGATAAATGTATGACAAGGTGGATACCCTGGTATTTTTGTTTTTAAGTAACCTCTATGGTCTGAGGCAAATATAGCTTATTAAGGAAGTTTCCCTCGATGTGTACATTTGTCTCACATCTGAAACATAACAGGTCTGTCAGGAACAAAACAATAGGAGTTTTAAAAAATTAATAGGATGTCAAATAAAAGAGCTCAAAAAGGCATTTTTCACACAGCCTAATTCGAGGAAAATCTCAGTTAAGGGTCTGTTTTCCATTTTCCAGTGTAAGAAGAAATCAAACAGGCTAAATAATATCAAGCTAAAGTTTGCCTGTGGCTTTTGAGGATGGATGGACCTTTTGAAGCAGGTTAGGCAAGACAGCTGCATTTTTATTTCAGCAGTTTTTTGGGCAGTTCACCTGGCAAAAATCTAGTGGGTAACAAACCAGGTAAAGGATGAGTTCGCTACAGCTTGGCCATCATAGTTCTATGTCTCGGGGGAGGTTGCCTAATCATTCTGGGCTTTGATTTTCTCATCCGTAAAATAAGCACCATCATTAAGATCAAGTTTATATGCAAAGAATTCCAGGAGGACTTCTGAGTTAAAATGGTAGCTGCTAGTGAGGCTAGAATCCCTAGGTTATTGAAGTACTCACAAAAGCACCCAAAGTGATACAAAATTTCAACAGCAACAGGAAACTAGGAATGTGATTCAGAACCAGTCAGGCCCTAAGGAGAAGGTATCATCTGCCAGAGCTTAGATGCCCTGCGGGGGAGGGCAGAGAAGCTGAATGAGAACAAATATAGGAGGGACCATTGCTGGCATGGTTAAGGGGTGAGAGGCGGGCTAGGGGCTCAGGGCTGACCTCGCCACTTAGTAGCTGCATGACTCTGGAAAGTTATTTCTCATTTTTGTGCCTCAGTGTCATATCTGTAAACTATAATAGAGTGGGTTACAAGGATTATATAACTGATACGTGTGAGGCATTTAGAAAAGTGTTTTGTGCACAGGGAGTACAGAGAAATACTTTCTGGACTGATATCAGAAACTCAGGCCTTCGTTACCTACTGTTCAGTACGTGGAACTCTGCTCAATGTTATATGGCAGCCTGGATGAGAGAGGAGTTTGGAGAAGAACAAACACGCATCAATGTATGGCAGAGTCCCTCTGCTGTTCACCTGAAATCTTCACAACACTGTCAATCGGCTCTACCCCAATACAAAATAAAAAATTGAAAAAAGAAACTTGGGCCTTTGTTGATGAAAAGACAGGTTAATTCATGACCAATTTTCTCTTTCAAGAAGTCTTTTCTGGCTTTTTTGGGGGGGTGGGGGAGTGGGGTGGGGTTGCAACCAAGGCCATTCATTTTACCCTGGCATCTGCACTGCTCAGGCTGCCTCCACGCTAAGATTCCATTTAGACCTAGCGAAGACCCAGCCAGGGTCAGTGCAGACTGCATGCCAAGCTGTGACCAGAGACATGTGGGCCACCATAGGTGAGCTGTCATGGAAACTGGTTCAGGGCACACATACAAAAACATTGCCCAAAGTCTTCAGAGGCAAATTGTCTTCTCTATAGTTCAACAGACCATCGTCAGAAACAGAAGCCCCCTCCCCTGACCTCAGCTCTGTGGCACATTAAATGAGGGAGTGCCAGACGCAGAACTTTGACCAAGGCCTTTGTGCTATAATTACCCTTCTAGATCAACACCCAGGGAGGAGTTCGCCAGCGCGAAGTGTGGACGGCAGAACATTAATGACCTCATGGTGAAAAACAGAGTCTGTCTTGCTCAAATGTACAGAGAGAAACAGCTAATATAAATATTTTTTTAAAATATTTACTGGAAGAAGTAGAAGAAAAATTTAGGAAGCATATGTTTTAGAATCAAAATCAATTAAAAAAATTGTGAGTATCTCTAACAAACAAAAGATCAGATGATAAGAAAGCCGACTTCATACAACTTATTCAATTCTTTTAAAATGTAAGATATTGAAATTAAAAAATATAATTTAAAAATGCCTGAGAAGGATCCAATGCTTTTTCATGATAAACACACTCAAAAAACTAGAAAAGGAAGGGAATTCCCTCAATCTGAAAAAGGACATATATTAAAATATCAGACTTATAGGTGAAAGATTGGAAGCTTTCCTTTTAGATTAGGAACAAGACAAAGAAGCCAGCTCTCACCACTTCTATTAAGCATAGCACTGGAGGTCTTAGCCAGGGCTAGAAGGAAATAAAGGTATCTATATAAAAACTGAAGAAGAAAAATTATCTCTATTCACAGAAGACATGATCTTGTATATAGAAAATCCTAAAGAATCCACTGAAATGATATTCTCAGTAATAAATGAATTCACTAAGATTGCAGAATACAAAACCAATCATTTGTGTATCTGGGCACATGCAATGAAAAACATAAAAATGAAATTAAGAAAACAATTCTTATTACAATAGCATCACAAAGAATAAAATACTGAGGAATAAATTTAACCAAGGAGGTATAAGATTAGTACACTGGAAACTACAAAATATTGTTGAAATAAAGAAAATCTAAATAATTGGAAAGACATCTTAAGTTCTTAGATTGTAAGATTTACTATTCTTAAGACAGCAATATTCTCCAAAACAATCTATAGATTTATTGCAATTGCTATCAAAATCCCAAAGACCATTTTTATAGAAATGAAGCTCATTTTAAAATTCTTGTGAAATTGCAAGGAGCCCTAAATAACCAAACCATCTTGAAAAGGAAAAACAAAATTGGAGGACTCACACTTCCTGATTTTGAAGCACACCACAAAGCTACTATAAGCAAGAGAGTATGGCATTGCCCTAAGGATAGACTTATGGACCAGTGGAATCAAATTGAGAATCCAGAGATAAACTCATATGCTTTGTGTCAATTGATTTTTCAACAAAGGCTCCAAGATCACTCTACAGAGGAAGAATATAGACCCTTAATCAAATATTGCTGCCACAGCTGGGTATCCACATTCAGAAGAATAAATTTGTATCCCTACTTCACATCCTATGCAAAAACTGATTCAAAATGGATTAAACACCTGAATATAAAAGGTAAAACAATGAAACACTTAGAAGAAAACACAGAAGTAAAGCATTATGATTTGGATCTGAAAACTGATTCTTAAATATGACACCCAAAGCATAGGCAACAAAAGAAAAAAAATAGGAAAATTAAATTTAATCAGAATGAGAACTGTCTGTGCACAAAGTACACCATCCAGAAAGTGAAAAGAAACCTAGAGAAGAGAGAGTATTTACAAGCCGTTTACCCCAGAAGGACCTAGCAACCAGAGTATATATTGAAAAGTGTTACCGTTCAACAACATAGAGAAAAGTAACCCAAATTTAAAAATGGGCAAAAGTGAGCAAATTTTATTTTAAAATACTGGTGAAATATATTAAAACATGGAATTTTAAAGGATATATTATTATCAAACAACGTGAATGTCAAAAGTAATTCTTGAAAGAAAAAAATACGACATAAAATTACCTATCAGTAACATTAAGTCATTTTTAAAAGTCAGAAAAATGAGGTAGGAGAAAGGAGAATGGAAGTAAAGACACATGTAAATTCCCTGATCTTATAGAGGAAGAAATCAAGAGCTACTAAATTTTTCTAGATAATAATATGAATAAAATGTAGCTTCAAGTACATTTATAGAGTATCTGGTATCCACTAACTAGAGTTAAAAACAGAATGTTTAATTTACGCATCACTAGAGAAAATAAGCATACAGAAATAGACCAATGCCCAAGGATAAATAATACAGGACACAATTATTGAAGCAGAAAGTATAATGCAAATTTTAGCATCATAGATTATATAACTAAACATAAATGAGCTAAATGATTTGATAAAATGGCAAAGTTCTCAAACTTGTTCAAAAACCAAAATCAAAATCAAACTCTGGTATCTTCAAAGACAGGAAAACACACACACAGACATACACACAGAGAAAATGAAAGTATATTTAAAGGGAAATTTTTTAAAAACTTTATTATCAAATTAACATGTTCATAGTTAAAATTTATAAAAAATATATAACTTATTTATGGAGAAATTATAACTAAAATATAGACAACAAAACTAATTAACCATTATAGTAAAATAAATATGGACTGAGAGTCATATGTAAAAGTGATATGTGAAATATCATTGTGTTTCTTGTTTTCACAGCTCAAATAGACCAAAAGTATAAGGAAATGAAGGATATAATATGGGCATTTAGTACCTTTGTGCTAAACTTCATAACATTTTTAGTTAGCTTCCAAGTAACACTAACAAATCATGCTCAATGGCCCAAAGTATAAAATCTCAATATACATACTAAAATATAAGATGTATGGCCTATATTTAAAAAATAAACATAATAGTAGAAAGAAAAGTAAATAACCCAATACTTCAAAGTTCTTTAAATGTATCCTAAATAATTACAGGTCAAGACGGAAATAAA